ATTCTGGGAATTGAAGTCCACCCATCTTAAAGCATGCTGGCTGAGGAATTCTGGGAATTGAAGTCCATCTCTTTTAAAGGGGCCATGGTTAAAAAAAGACCTTGGAGGTCTTCTAGTCCAACCCCCTGCTAAATTGAGGGCCACCTGTCGCATAGAATACCTGTTCTGGGGAGTTTTCTTTCTTTCTTCTTTCCTGACCGTCTTCTGACTGAATGTGGGTCCATTTGAGCAAAATTTGGTTCAGTTTCTGTTGGGCTTCCTGGAATTGGCTCCCAGCACTGTCTTTCAAATGTCCCACCTGCCAGAAAAGCAGAAATAAAAACCATTGAAAGAAACAATGCAAAGCTATTCAGTTGGTAACCCAATGCAGCTACTCCTCGATTTACGACCGTAATGGAACCTGCAATTTCTATTGTGAATTGTGATGGTCATTATCAATCAGACATCGTCACCCAACCACACCCCCAAATCCCCAATTGACCAGGGGGGTGCTGCAAACAGTTATAAGGGTGAAAAATGGTCTTAAGTCATTTTTTCCCCAGTGCCATTGTAACTTTGAATGGTCATTAAATGAATCATTATCAGTTGTGGGCTACCTGTACTTTGGATTAGAACAGAATGGAATAACAGAGTTGGAAGGGACCTTGGAGGTCTTCTAGTCCAACCCCCTGCTTAGGCAGGAAATCCTATGCTATTTTAGAGAAGTGGCTATCCAATCTCTTCTTAAAAACTTCCAGTGATGGAGCAGCCACACCTTCTGGAGGCAAGTTGTTCCACTGGTTAATTGTTCTCACGGATAGAAAATTTCTCCTTAGTTCTAGGTTGCTTCTCTCCTGGATTAGTTTCCATCCGTTGGTTCTTTTTCCTGCCTTCAGGTGCTTTGGAGAATAGCTTGACTCCCTCTTCTTTGGGGCCCCTCAAATACCGGAACACTTCTATCATGTCATCCTCAGTCCTTTTTTCCCCTCTAGATTAGCCATACACGATTCCAGAACCGGTAGCGGAAATTTGGAGCAGTTTGGAGAACCGGCAAATCCCGCCTCTGACTGGCCCCGCCAACCCCACCTCTTCTCCGCCTCCCATTGAGTCCCAGCTGATCGGCTGGCTCCTCTTTGGTTGCCCTGCCCAGGAGAACGGAGCTGGAAAGCAGGTTAGTGGGGTGGGGGAGGGAATGGGAATTTTGCAGTGCCCTTCCCCTGCCATGCCCACCAACCCACGCCCAACAAGACAAGCCACACCCACCAAACCACACCCACAGAACTGGTAGTAAAAATATTTGAATCCCACCACTGCTCCAGCCCCCTAATCACCTCAGTGGCTCTTCTCTGCACCCTTTCTAGTGTCTCAACATCTTTCTTTACATCGTGGCAACCAAAACCGAAGCGATCCTCCAAGTGTGGCCTTACCAAGGCCTTGCAAAGTGGTATTCACACTTCACATGACCTTGATTATATCTCTCTGTTTGTGCACATTAGGACTGTGTTGGCTTTTTTTTTTTTTTATGGCACTGTGTCCTGGCTGATTTGAACCCAGGGCCGACTTACCAGGTTTATCACATACTGGAGCTGGCCGAGCAAGTCCTGGGTGTTTTCCTGGACCACGTGAAGCCGATTCAGGGAATGCCGGTAGACCCGGGAACGGAGTTTGCTGGAGAGGGAACCCAGGCGGACAAAGTAACTCTGATCTCTGCGCTGCTCGTCCACGGAGGCCGGACTGACGCCCTGAACCTGGTTAGCCAGCTGGGCTGCAGGGGGGGGGGACAAAGCGGGTGTGAAGAGGCCCCCTCCGATCCCAGGAAGGATCAGGCCCCCATGGATGGTTTCCAAAAAAGAAACAAAAAAAAAAACCCTGTCCTTCAATTCGTTCCAGCTTTTTCTTTCTCGTGTTAGTTTTTTATGTGGTTGGTTGCTCTCGCTTGGCTGCCTAAATGAGTTGCCTGCCGATGAGATGAGTGGCCGACAAGACAAGGAAGGAAGGAAGGAAGGAAGGAGGAAGGAAGAGAAGGAAGGAAGGAAGGAGGAAGAGAAGGAAGGAAGGAAGGATGGAAGGAAGGAAGGAAGGAAGGAAGGAGGAAGAGAAGGAAGGAAGGAAGGAAGGAAGGAAGGAAGGAAGGAAGGAAGGAAGGAAGGAAGGAGGAAGAGAAGGAAGAAAGGAAGAAATAAAAAAGGAAGGAAGGAAAAATGAGGAAAGA